AGCAATCCCATTTATGAGGATGCCAGAAGGACATCAGATTCCAACACTTGTCTGAAAAATCTCACAAAACATGGTATTGGTCCAATACCATGATGAGGCGCCTTCAAACTAGGGAGTTGAAAAGTTGAAAAGAAAAATTGGGAACCGTGTAATTACAATACAAGCAATACAACACTGTAGTACAATCACAAAGTTGAACTTTTTATTTGGAGGGGGCCACCCTCATACACTACCGGAGGGTTCTGTGTCACAAAACGGTCTCCCTGGGGCCCAGAATGGTGGGGCAAGTAAAAGGCTTGTAGCAACGCTGCCACAGTTACTTTACTGGTATTGTATTGGCAATACCCGGTAAAGTATCAAAAAAACAATACTGTAAAATTCGGTCGGCAGTAAAGTATTGGTTGACCAATACTATACTCGATACCGTATCAAAAACCACAATACCAACAAGACCTACCTTGAGTAAAGTATCTTGAAGCAATACTGTTACTATACTCAATACTGTATTGGTATTTGCGCCACAATACCAATACTGTACTCAGTATCTAGGCCTAAATGAGAGAAATTATAAACCAATACTTCTCCAGCAACTGCTGGGTAAAGTATTAGTTTTCTAATACTTTACTTGATACGGTATCAAAATCAACAATACCATCCCAAGGACCTGGAAGTAAAGTATTGGTCAGACCAATACTAAGTATTGAGATACTTATACTGCAAAAAAAGTTACTTTACCGTTAATTTACTGTAAACAGTAAAGTAACTGTGACAGCGTTGCTTGTAGACCACCCCATAGACAGCCCGCATGGGTCTGAGATTGGTCAGGTCTATAGGTGGCCTGTGGACCGACACTCATACGGGCTGAGAATGGCCATTAGGCAGTCTCCAGTCAGGCCACACTTTTCATCAAACATGCTGAGCTTCTGGTGGTCTACAACAGCCAGCAGACCATCCATCATATGATTTGATTTCACCCAACTCCCACCATGTCAAGCTCTCTGCTCAATTTCTCAGCTAGGTTAGGTCAGGTCTGATGATATTGGTGACTCTCACTTGACCTCCTACCGATCATGCTTGTTAGACTTCCTTTGCCAAACCACTCAACGCCCATTTGTCAAAGTAAGCACCGTTTTGCTATCTCTCTATCTCAACCAATTATCTCCCCAAGAAGTTCTTCACTTTCAAGTTTCAAATCCAATCTCATCTTCTATAAGCTCTAGTATCAACAATCAATATAAAATTCCATCTACTCTTCTCAGATTATCAAACAATATCACTTCTTCATATTGAGATCAATCTCATGATTCAACCTCTTCTTCTTCTTCTAGATCACCTTTGATTTTAGATGAATGCAAACTCAAAATCTCTATGAACAACCTATCAGGTCCTTCATCTCCTTTACGTTCAATGGGTACCATCACTCATGATTCAACTCAACTTCAAAGAGCTCAAATCCCCTCTTTTACTCATTCTTCATCCAATCAGAATCTTTCATATCAAGAATCAATTCTTCTTTATTCCAATGCTATCATCTCTCCTCCACCTTCTCAATTTCGATGAGTTCTCTTCTGATTCAAATTATAGATTCAAATTTAGAACTCACAGATCCTTCTTTATTTTGAATAGGTATCATCATCTTTCTGTTGTTTGGTCTTTTACAAATTCAGGTCTTGCTTCTTATTTGATCAGTCTTCAAGTTTTGATTTGTCTAACCTCATTTTGGAACATCTTATTCAACATACTGATGACCTCATTCAAAGGAATCCAAAGATGTAAGTATAAATCCTATCCAAGTGTGTTCCAGTACACTTTCTATCTTTCGAAAAATTTGATGACCAAACCTGGATATTGATTATTTACACCTTTTTTACTTTCTACATCTCAGGTAACACATCCTCCTCCAACCTTTTATGTCAAATGTCAAGTCCAGATGTAACAAAATACAAGGGAAAAAGGAAGTCAAATGTGAGGTTTTCACAGAGTGATCTGGGATGATTTATACCTGCAGGACTAGAGTGGAAACCTTCTGGTCTATGGATGGTAGTGGTGTCACGGTATTGGATCCTTCTTTTGTATCATCTTCTTGCCAATTTACCAGTCTTGTTGGTGCTACATACCAATTTTATCCTTTTTGCAATGTCATTTCTGGTCATGTTCCCACTCAGCCTGGCTCAGTAGGCCCACTGTGCCTCAGTAAGATTTGAAATAGCCACTGTCAAACGGTGCATTCCCAATCAAAAGGGCCTGATTGGGATTGCCGCCGCCCAATTGTATCATTAGTTCCAAATGTTGTGAGGTCACTGGCCCTTGCCTCCCAGACAGCTCTCGCTAGTCTCCAGAGTAGACTGTCTTGATATGAGCAATGCTTGCCTGAAGACGCCTATGGCTCACCTGCGGAATGTTTCCAGACTTGGCAGTGAAACGTCTCAGAAGGGTCGACCGTATGGTCAACCTTCAGACCGTCTACCACTGTGGAAGCGCAGCCGGCCCCCAGACGGTCTGTGTTGCTGGTCTTAAGAACGGCCAAACCCTCTGGTGGTGTAGGGATTCACACTTTTGAAGAAGCAAAAAAGCATGTACTGAAAAGCCATGATTGCACTACAGCTCGGTATCAGTTGTATCTAAATTACATGGTTCAAAGATTTCATTTTCAAGTTTCCATTTTTTCTTAGTTTGAAGGCACCTATTGTGTCAAACTTTCCTAAGTCCCTCGCCAACAGCCCGAGGCTCGAGCAAGGCACTTACCTCAAAAACAAGAAATTTGGCTTGAGAAGTGAGCTGTATTGAGCTGAAAACCGCTACATTGTGTTCTTGGTGTTCTGGCTATATAAACAACACTCCATGAAAAAGGAAAAGTTGCTAGCAAGAGTCCATTACATGTGCTAGTGCTTCAAGCTCTCCAATATGTTATCAGGAACTTGCATGTTTGGGCGGTCCAAGGTTGGAGATTTTTGCCAGTTTCTGAGAAATACAGGCTTCAAACCCGCTCACTGCTCAGGAAGTGGTTCAAAAGTCCAATAACAAATTCCCAAGCAGTGTAACTTGCAGTCTACAAATGAAACTTCTGGAAGTTGCAGCTCATGTAACGGCTTGTGACCGTTATCTATTCCTTTGCACAAAAACGACTTGAATGAGCCAAAATAGTTATCAAGAGGTAGAGATTTTTTGCTGAATACAGCCTACTTCTCACGCCAGAATTTGGGTTTTTGAGGTGAGTCCCTCGCTCAAGCCTTGGGCCGTTGGCGAGGGACTTAGTTAGTTTGCTACTGTGTATGTACAGTCCCTTCCAAGAGACATAAACATTCAAGTTCTGCAGTGGTACCAGGGCAATTCAACAAAGTCAATCAGGTCCTTTTTAGATATTTTGTAAACAACTCACATTCAATTCAAACACCATACACTGAGCTTTATAACCAACAGAAAATCTTATGATGATCATAATGTTTGGTCATTACATTCAATATCAACGTTGAGCACTTGAAATACCGCTGGGCAGGAAATCCTTTCTGCCCACCATTATATTTCCAGATTTTGTATTCTGTGTTGAAGACATTCCTCCACCCAATTATATTTCAAGAACCTGGGCAAACAAGTCTGCATTAAAGCACATAGACAAAGAGATTTCTGGACTCAAAAAGGCATTGTGTATGTAGGTGACCAGAAGCAAGAGCCTTTCGACACTTTACCAGAAGCAAATTCCAAGGCATTCAAGCTTGGAAGACTCAGTGTGGGACTATGTTGTTTGTATAAGAGACAAGCTCAGCTTTGGGAGCTCCAAGTTCCACAAGAGAAAGATGTGGAATTGGAGCTGATGCTGAGCTGCCAACTCTTATAGTGGTCCAATTGGGACTGCGCTGTGGTCGTGCCACGTAGGCGTGAGAACTGACTACAACACCCCCCCACAACAAGGCGTGTACAACCATATAAAGAACCAAAAGAAATCAGCTACCCCTTTTTAAACAACATAGGAAGGGATTTGTGATCACAGAGAAGGATATAGATGAAAAAAAATTCAGAAACAAACAAGATAGAAAAACGAGTCTTAAAGAACAACAATCTAACATGATAAGCCAATCCTAGTGAATTGATCACATTGAGGAGGGCTTGGGCTTTGAGATCAAAGGAGGGAAGAAAAAAATAACAAGACTCAGGACAATAGGGGTTGGGCAAAAAAGCAACCAACCGGTTTCCAAACCCAATTCAGTCGCAGTTCAAAAAGTTGGGAATGCTTTTGAGATTGCTCAAAAGCAATATGAAAGCCACTCAAAACTGACAAACATTTTTGTCCATCTTTTTGCTTTGCAAAAATACACACCGGTATAAAGTGCTTCTAGATGACACTAAAGTTTTATCCATTCAAAAGTCTTGAAGGCAAGACAAATTTGTGCCGCTACAAGCCACACAAATGCCCACTTTTCACCACAGGTCCCCAGCCCCTTCTGTAAAAGGTGCAAAAGCTTACTTGACAAGTAAGTTTTTGAAGCCGCCTGTCTTGAAAATTGCGAAAGATCAGCTTCTTTGTTCATGTACTTGAATAGAATTCAAAAACTGTGAGACATGAGTGGGTGGTTTACGCTCTTTTATGAAAACAGATTGAGTGACCCTGAGAAGCAAAGCTGTTCGGAGTGTGCTGGGGTAGACTGTAGGATCGGGGTTTTTGCAGGCGCAAACCTGATAATCCTGATAATTTCTGATAATGCTGATAAAACCTTACAACCCCATGGGTTATGGGTCCACGTGAGTCAACCGTATATGTAAAGTGTACGATAAATCTCTTTGGCCTTTACCACTTAAGCATCATGGGTGCTGTGCATAAGGTCTGTATGCCAAGCAGACCACGTGGCCCACTTGTGGGCAGAGGTACCCCTTGAGGTGTCACCTCCCACGCCTCGCGACGCGAGACGACTCCTCGCACGCACCCTCTCCCCCACCAACTTACCCTCAACCCACAACTACTCACTCAATCCCTCTTCAGCAATCCCCTCCCTCTGATCGACATTATGCTGCTCACCGAATTTGTAGCCCATCTTACAAGGACGACTCCTCAACTCAGCACCACACTCACGGTAGGGGACTTCGTGCGCTTCATGTCCCTTGCATCCGAAGTCCAACAGCGCGCTGGCCAAGGACTTCGACTCCGATCGTACCGACTACCAGTCGCCAAATTCTTCCTCGCGGCACTAAAACCAGCGTTCCTGCACCCACTCATCCGCAGCCTCTGGAGTTTGGCCTGGGATATCTTACCATCCGCCCGTATCGATTCTACCACATCTATCCGGGAACTCGGCGTTGAAACCGATAACACCTCCAAGGTCGCCGAGCAATACCTGCGAGCCCCTGTTTCCCGGTGTCTTGTCTGTCCAAACACACCAAAGCTACACGTCCACTCGCGCCTAAACGCGTACGTCTTTGACTCGGATGGTGTACACACCGCCGAGACAACCATCCTGAGATGTCCAGGTACGTTATCGATTTACGTATACGTTTTCAATTTACGTTTCCCATTCAACCGTTCAGCTTTATAAAGCTCGATCGAACCGCTAAATCGTAATGCTTTCATTCCCAGATACGAAATGTGCAACATCCTATAGACCAAGCTACTACACCCGGGAAGGACTGCGATGCTACTACAACATATCATTGGGCCGTGACCCGGACATCCTTCAAGTGCATTGTCACTACTACATGACCCGACGTTTGCACCACATGTTACGTGGGATTCAGTTGTTAGCGCAGTGAGTGTTTTTACGCCTTATTTGCTTTTCATTGTTGACATACGTAAGATTGGGAACTGACCGTGCAATGCCCTAGTGTTTCTCACTTCAACTTAGTGAATTGGTACAATAGGACATTTTTCAACGAGTGTAACATTCCTCAATTTGCCTCCGATCAAGCGTTTTCACCGGCGATGTCGGAGGCTGTGTGCAGCGATGGACTGGACCTCCTCTCCCTCCTCGATCACGCAGACCGCAGGGGTACCCAGCTCACAGTTAGCGCAAGTGGGACCAATCATCTACGTTTTGAGGATGCCATGGGCCTCCATCTCGATCTCTTGGCCGTCGAGGGTACCCGAGACCGGGACCACTACTGCTCCCGCTGTGTTCGAATTCAATCGGGCGGAATTGATTCTGAGACTGGCGAGGAAATCCTATTAGGTCAGTTCCGTTTTCATTAAAGACTCCAGAAAACCAAACTGGATTCCTCACGACCACTTGAACACTCTTTCAGGCATACGTGCCGTTGTAACTGATGGTCTCACTATAGGCCATTGGCGCTGTAGTGCTACCACCAATCAGCTCGCTGAGATGACTAATACGGCCGGATTACGACAACCTGAAGGACCCTGCACCAACAGGCTGGAGAACATCAATCACCGCTTCTGTAAAGAACACTTTCATCTCCTGGGGAATCGTTGTCAAGCTCAACCTTGCACTTCATTGTGCGAACCCGGAAGCAGGACTTGCAAGAACGAAGCTCACATCAGCGCGATGCAAGCGTTTGAAAAACGAGTAGAAGGTAGCTTTTCTCTCACGGCCATTCTGAATCGACCAGGTTCAAACCTTCCCTCAGATGCAACGGTTCATCTAAACACCGAGACTGGGGAGTTTGAAGACCTGGAAAGTCTTCAACAAGCGGACGAGTCCAACCGGGCACACGAACGTGCCCGCGACGGTGGGGAATCTCAACAAAAAGACAAAGTATGTTTAAGTCGAATGCGAACACACAACGATCAACTCATCGTGGGCCGGTGGCATCATATTGGCACGCAAAACGTTCTATCACTCCGAATCCGTCAGTGCCGTTAAAGTAAGTGAATTTCTTTTCTTTGCAGTTATCACGACCAATTTCCTTTACAACAATTACCTCTGATGACACTTGCTCGCAGGCTTTCTTGGAAGAGACCTTCCCTCAGGGTATACCGGAGGTCGTTTTTTATGGCAACGCGTGCCGACTGACCAAACATATATACCACGGTTCAGTGGATGCCAGCCGGTTCAAGGACACAGTAATCCCCGTCGACCCATTCCACCATCGCTCCCATGCTGGGAGCGATGAGTTCTGTCAGCGCTTCACAAACCCCCGCCTGTTCCCCAACATTCAAGAAGACGGTAAATGGTTTTTCAACGCGTCCGCAGCGGAACTTACAAACATATGGTATGGAGGTTTTGCTTCAATGTGTAGAAGCATGCACTCCACCAAGTATAACTTTTTCTTGGAGGAGATGGTTGCATTGCGGAACGCTTGGCTCATACGCAAGCTGAAAAAAAGACCAGGTATGGAATTTATGGGCAATGGTATCCTATAATACTGGTGAGTCAGTTACTTCGTTTCATGTTTGTGTTATCGGGACAGCTCAGGGCTAATTAATCCATGATTACTTGTCACTACATCTTCTCGGTTCGACTACCCATCTTACGATGGGTAGTCGGTCAGAAAAGATGTCATCACTTTTGAAAACAAACAATGACACAAAGAGTATCAATACAATGAAGAAATTTTTATTCTGTTCAGTTATATATTATGATTTCTAAACACAAGGTATCAGGTGAAAAGTTATATATAGTCCAATAGTGCAATCAGTCGTTGGTCCTCAATAGTGCTTCCTTATATGTGATTTTTTATTTGCATTTAAATATCCTTTTGGCACTTCAAATCCCAATTGTTTTTTCACCACTTTGTCGGGCTTTGTTGTTAGTTTGAACAAAACATAATCAAAGTGACTCAAATTTGACTCTTAAAATACTCATATGTGAATCGATCTACTTCTACATATGAACTTGGTCAAGTAGAGGCCTTGACAATTGCTTGCGCTTGCACATGAGCGAGCACCAACCAACAACAACAACAACACCACGCTGCCTAGTTGTAGTTGTTGAAATGGTTCTTACATCATGGCCACGGTGAACCAAGGTTGCTAGAGGAAAATGGGTAAATGCTATCCACTTACTCTGTAAATGCCATGGCATGCACAACAAACAGTGTCGTTCGTAGCTGTCTGAAGGAGGGATGTATACCAGCACCAGCCAGTCGGCCCTTTGGTCATCACCAAGGCTTAAACTGCTTATAAAATGGTGATGCAGCAGAGGGAAGAGAGCCCCCCACGCGCGCCACTTCCCTACATACCATACTGAGTCCTCACCGTACCTCTTTTTCTTTTGTTATTGTCTCCTTATCATAGCGCCGGCATTCTTCACAATTTCGATCTTTGTCTTCTGCTTCTGTTACGCATACTCACCAGATGCATGCCTTTCCCTACCCTCATGACGGCCATCCTTCACAACATAGACGATGTAAGCATCGACCCCCTCAGAACGGTGCCTTCAATGTGCATCGTCCACTAACTCCTGGGTTTCATTGTATGTGTGATGTTGGCAAACAGGCAAACCGCGTCAACCCCAACAACCTTGGAACGGGTTGGCACTTGTCCAACACGAACCTTGCTTTGAAAGGCCCCTTCGGAGGTCACGTCTTTGAACCCCTGACTGCTATCGCCTACGTGAGGCCCGCCGACAAACTTCAGCGCGCCAAGACCTACTGCATTGTCGGACCCTTCGGGCACAATCACAATTCGGGGGAAAGTGCAATCAAACACTCCCACAACAGCAAAACTGATGTAGTAATCAATCCTCAAGACCTAGGAGACCTCCTAGCAGGTAAAGCTGTAGTGAACGGCGTTGGAAAGATCGTTGATTTCTATTTTGAAGATGTAGACAAAATAACTGGTTGGGAACTCACTGTCAACGCCAAACACAATTGGTTTGACCCTCGGGTATGTACTAGCAATTGGTCATCATTGGTGATTAACCTGTCACTGACTTTGCTGCCTCACACAGACCGAAGAAATCAAGGAATTCATTATGACTTATCAATTCGGGCTGTTTACTCCAATGAGCTTTTATTGGCCGCAGATTGCTGTGGGGGCAAGGATGTTGCTGCATGGTTATGTTATTAGGAAAGATATCGTGTCTGGAAGGTTTATTGTCAAGGTCAGTTCACAAAGGCCTTTTGTGTTGTCTCCCATTCTGATCTGGTTTGCTCCACAGGTGCGCAGTCATGAGTTTCTTGAATGATATCAATTTATGCAGTGGAGGGGACATTTTTGGGTAGCTCTTGTTTACATGTGCTGTCCAATGTGGCTTTGATTTCTTGTTACTTTAGAGATGTGGAATTGTCCATTTGTATCTTTCCCTTCTCATTTTGTATCTTTCACTTGGTTTGGTGTCTTACATCTGATCATCTTGTTTGCCTTTGTAAATATGTGTAAATGTAAATGTAAATGTATGTGACAGAATCAGGCACTTAAAAAACTTATTCCACACCACATAACATCATCTATAGGGCAATCATGACTGAATCATGATTGCCCTATAGTCACATTGTGTGAAAGAATTTTGTACTCAGTGCCACATTTTTCAAATTGCATTGCTTCTCTTATAGCTCTATCTAGCAATCACCTCTGTTCATCCACAATTCAATTATATCATATCAACAAACCAATGTATCTATGGCATCTATGGCATTGAGGAGGGCTACAATGCTAAGCAGGGCGGGCACTGGGAACCTCTCACAGGGGTTGATAGATGCGGCGATATGTAATAGTTATGAAGAATGTAAATATAGTGATTGGGTGCATTGGCATTGGTAAATACTACCAACTGGCGGGGTTCCCGGTTGCTGTGTCCCAAAAAAAAATTGGACAATCATTAAGAGACAGAGACAGAAAATGGAATTGTCAAAGATGAGCACTCAGGAGTTGCCCAAAGTTATGGGCCACAGCCATTGGTACCCTGTGGAGGCAAGGGGGTTGCGGCAAATTCACGGGGCTAATATTTGGGTGACCACCTCATTTTTTTTTTGCCAGAGGTATGTGGAGTCACTTTCGAAGGGATGCAAACACTAGAATATTTAAATCTATCCTTAGTGTAGTGTTCTGAGTGTTGTGTGGGGTGACCATCATTGATCATCTTCTAGGTGATCAATGATGGTCACCTGACTCTGGTGGAGACACTTAGTCTGTCTGGGACCTCATTTACATTTGATGGTATGGATATTCCATCAAAATATTCAAAACCATTCACAATGTGACCTATATGTACCTTTCACATGCTTTGAATTTATTCATTCTTTGGATGTTTTGCAAAATATCCATTTGAAGGAGGAAAAGGCACCATACATACATATGTA